AATCCCAGCACTTTGGGAGGCCGAGGCGGGCAGATCACGAGGTCAGGAGATCGAGACCATCCTGGCTAACATGGTGAAACCCCGTCTCTACTAAAAAATACAAAAAAATTGGCAGGGCGGGTTGGCGGGCGCCTGTAGTCCCAGCTGCTTGGGAGGCTGAGGCAGGAGAATGGTGTGAACCCGGGAGGCAGAGCTTGCAGTGAGCCGATATCGTGCCCCTGCACTCCAGCCTGGGCGACAAAGTGAAACGCCAAAAAAAAAAAAAAGAAAGACTGTCTCTCCTACCCTCCTCAATGGTTCTTTCAAGGATATGCAGGGACCAAATGACACACAGTCTTAGCTGCCATCTTTGGAAGCTGAAGTAACTCAGGCTAAAGCTATTTAAATACCGTTTCTAAAATAGTGCTGCAGCCTCACCTGTAGCTTGAGAACTTTCCTGAGTAAGTCATGAAATGTTATTAGGGCTGGTCACGGTGGCTCATCTGTGATCCTAGGACTTTGGGAGGCTGAGATGGAAGGATTGCTTGAGCCTAGGAGTTCGAGACCAGCCTGGGCAACATAGGGAGAACCCCAACTCTACAGAAAATAATAAAAAATTAGCCGGGCATGGTGTCACACCTATAGTCCCAGCTGAGGAGGCTGAGGCAGAAGGACCACTAGACCCTGGGAGGTTGAGACTGCAGTGAGCTATGATCATGCCACTGCACTGCAGCCTGGGTGACCCTGTCTCTTAAATAAAAAGAGAAAGAAATGTTATCAGTTATGATGTTTATATTTTTTAGTAAAATTTATAAATGGAATGAGAAATGGAATGTATTGTGTTAGAGTCTCTTACTGAATATGACTTGTTTGGGGTACCGTTTCCTAAGGATTAATTTTAAATTTCTCAAATATTCTAGAATGAATCTTCCATATGGATATTTGCTTCATTATTTTAAAGAAGTGGTTTTTAAGGATCAGGTGTGATGGCTCGCACCTGTAATCCCAGCACTTTGGGAGGCCGAGGTAGGCGGATCACCTGAGGTTAGGAGTTGGAGACCAGCCTGGCCAACATGGTGAAACCTTGTCTCTACTAAAAATACAAAAAATTAGCCGGGCATGGTGGCATGTGCTTCTTTCTAATCCCAGCTACTTGGGAGGCTGAGGCAGAATTGCCTGAACCCAGGAAGCGGAGGTTGCTGTGAGCTGAGATTGGGCCACTGCACTACCTGGGCAACAAAGTGACAGTCTGTCTCAAAAAGAAAAAAAATAAATAAGTGGTTTTTAAAGGAAAGTACTTTCTATAGTAGCTTATTTTCATCTCATTTTATTGCATGTTAACATAGATGATATATTGATTTTTTTTTTCAGCTTCCTTGGAAATCATTGACTAGCATCATTGAATATTATTACATGTGGAAAACTACTGACAGATATGTGCAACAGGTAATTTTTTTCCTATTGCTACCAATGTGGTTGCATTAAAATTAACTTTGATTATATTTTAATATTTTTTAGCAATGTACTAATTTTAAATTTGTTTACCTTACTTTTTCCAGACTACTTTAAACTATACGATTTCATATCTTTAGGATATTATTTAAGATTTTAATCTTAATATTTCCTTGATTTCAGCATGAATTACGATAAATATTTTGGAGAGATAC